CTCCCTTTTTTTTGGGGGGGGGGATAAAAATAATTATTCAATTACTTTTATTAATTGTTATTATTATTTAAATTTGCAATAGGGCATGTGCGCTCACGGGGTGGGGGGCGGGGGGGCGATTCACCTACCGGCTTCTGGCTCAGAAAAAGGAAGGATTCCGGAGCCGCGCAGAGGCAGGCCTCGTGATTGACAACCCAGCCTCGGAAGCAGGGAGGGCAGCGCCGTCCCCGCGGTGGCCACGCGGGGAGGAGCTGTGGGGCCAGGCGCTCGCCTAGGGACCTGCGCCGACAAGGAGTCAGGCGGAAAGCATTCGCAAGACTTTCCCTGTCCCGGGGCTGGTGGGTCTGGATCTGTTGCCGATGTGTTCTGTTCGCGAATTGAAATTAATCAGCGTTTGGGAGTATCGCTCGAACAAAGCGGGTCAGTGAAACCTACCGGGCACACCATCGGTGCAGCTGTGAGAGCAGGGAGCGCTCCGAGGACAGGTCCAGGGGGGTGAGCTGAAATGCACGTTTTGCAAAGATTCTTCCCTCAGCAATGTGGCCTGGGGCTCTTATCTCCGCCTAGCACGTTGGGGCGGGGTGTCAAAGCCCTGACCCCGCCAGATTTCTTACCTTCGGGAAAGACGGAGTGTGCGAGCTCGGCCTCAGGCGGATCGAGTGAGACACCACCTGTCTGGTAGTACCCTAGGAGTAGCCGGGCTGCGATCCGTGGCCTGGAGCCAGCGCCGTCACACGGGACAGTCACACCCCACAGGCCAGGGACCAGGGTCTGCAGAGAACTCCTGGAAGGCAGAGGGTGGTCTCCCCGAGCGCAGTCTTTCAAGCAAGTTGAAGCTGAGCAACGACTCACAGAAAGCTGTGAACCCTCTCCTGGGCACCTGCCATTGGTTCTGCCCCACACATCGGGAGTCAGAGCGGGTGCCAGCCCTGCGGGCAGGGACCAGCAAGGAGCGAAGGCAAAGGCGAGAGACCACACAGCTGCCATGTGCAGGGACACGGAGCAGGGTCCGCCCCAGCGGCAGTTTCATGGTCAGCTCAGCTAGGTCACGAGTCCAGTGATCAACAGAACAGGAATCCAGACAGCTGCAGGGGATGTGCTAACACCTGCAGCCAGCCCGCCTGTACAGGACGTGTTCCTTATGAAAATATACTCACCGACTCACTCTCCCAGCGCAGGGCCAGTGGCGCAATGGATAACGCGTCTGACTACGGATCAGAAGATTCCAGGTTCGACTCCTGGCTGGCTCGGGAAATACAAGCTTACCTTTTTTCCTCCCTTCCTGACCTTCTAGGAGCTCAGTAACGGAAGACAACGGTACAAGGTGGAGTTTAACGGAGTCATGGGAAACAGGAGGGCCCCAGCCGCAGCCTCCGCTTCCTCGCCGCGCAAGTCCCAGGCCGACGGTGCGGCGGCCCCATGCACGCGGACCGAGCGAGACGCACACAGCCTTGCCAGCCGCGTCGGTCCGTTTTGGCCGAAGAATGAGCTGGAATCCACGATGCCAAAGAGCAGACCAGACCGCCCGGGCCGTGGGCGCCTCGCCGGGCGGGGCCGAGGCCCGCACGCCCGTCCCGCCCTGACCCAGCTCGGCCTTCCCCGCGGCGCCTGCTGGGCGGTGAGCGCGCGGGCAGCCAGAACAGGCGGCGGGGAGCAACAGTTACCGCCGGTTTCCGTAGTGTAGTGGTTATCACGTTCGCCTCACACGCGAAAGGTCCCCGGTTCGAAACCGGGCGGAAACAAGTGGTGTTGTCTTTATGTTTCGCAGACAAATCGATTTTTTAAACCTGTCTTTGTGTTTCGCGGACAAAACGATTTTTAAAACCTGTCTTTACCGGTTTTGAACCCGCCCTCCGCGCCGCCCACACGCGTCTGCCGCTGGCTGGAGAAATACAATAAATTAAACTTCAAAGTGTAGGTTGTGGCCAAAGAAGCTCCAAAGACACTGCCACTAGGCCCATTTCTGAGTGACGGCGTGCCTGGGCTGGGAGCAGCATGCTGTGGAGGGAAAGACAAGCCCTTCTACATTTTTGTCACTTTTCAAGAAAAGTTTAACCTTTGATATTTTGTGACCATTGTCACCAAAGCTTTTAGTCTGCTCTAGCTTCAAAGTGCTGGTACTGGGCCCCTTTCCAAAGGCCCTGTTTCTGAGCAGACCCAGGTCACTGACCTCCCCTGCTCAGGACGCCCTCCTTCTTTGGGGAACTGAACTCTGGCTGGGTTTGCCCTTCCTCTCCTTGTTTGGGTGCCCCCCTCCTCCCTGTGTCACTTCCCACCAACTGTGGTCTTGATTTACTTCATGGAGAATCTCACCTTGAAATGATTTCATGATTCATCACCTTTAGTTTGAAGCCCTCTGAGTCTGGCAGTGAGATCCGCCTGCCCTCCTCCTGCCCTGGCGTGATCACCTCTCTGCCCACAGAACTCGAGCTCTTACACTGCCAGCCCTCTGTCACCTGGTAGGCCATGTGTGTGGAGAAAGAGCACCTACAGAGCTCGGGACCATCCACCCCTTCAGGGCCCCAGTGCAGGTGTAGGAACGCCCACCCTCTGCGGAAAGAACTGCCTGCAGCACCATCGAGGGTGTAAACCTCCTTCAGGCCTAACAGCAGCGCTCCCCAGGACGTGCTGTGCGAATCAACCCATGAATCTGCTCGCTTGGACTAGAATGTGATTTGAGGCGCTTTCACTACAATTCCAAGACAGAGCTGGTCATTCACGAAATGGCCAGTAACTTAATTAGCACAGACATTTAGGTGCACGAGGGTCTGCTTTGAGACAGGACTAACCGTATTACATTAGTTCTCACGCTCCCCCAAATTTGATCTCTGCAAACACAGCAAGTGCACGTATGTAGATGTGTGTGTATATTACAAGTAATGGCTGTACGTGTAGACAGAGGCCATGCCCCTACAAGCACATGCGGATGGACCCTGCACGTAGAATGCATCCAGCTGAGAGCTAGCAGCAAGGGTGGTACATAACAGATCCCTGTCTCAAACCTGCCACCTGCAAGCCCAACACAGCACTGAAAACGAAGCCACTCGGAGGCTGTGCCTGTGAGGGGTCCCTAACCACCTCCCAGCAGCACACTCGGGCATCCGGATGGGGACGAGGAGCAGAGGAAGCTGTCTGATGTAAGCTTGGTTTCAGCTGCCTTTGAAGAAAAGGAAAGTGGAAGAGAGGTTTGTAATGAATTCCACTCTGCTTTTCTTGGCAGGTCTCCAGCTGGTTCCTTATCCCCGTCACCGGGTTAAGTATCTGACAAGCGTCTGACGCTAAGTTTCTTCTACCGGGAAAGGTGATGAATGTCGCCCCATTCACTATCCCACAACTTTGTTGGATAGATG